TGCCTTCTCTTTGTCAGGCACTGTGTTAAGTTCTGGGGACACAAGGATGTGCCAGGCAAAAGCACCAAGGCAGAGTCACTGTCTTCTTAACAAGTGGACACATGACTTCTCAATTAAGAGGGAGCAGAACCCCTGGAGCAACCGAGTCTGCCTGGAAGGCATCTCATAGGAGATATGACCTTAAGTAAGTTTCAAAGGATAAACAAGAACTTTCAAAGAGGTTGAATTGGGGTTGGGTGGGGTAGGTGGGGAGAATATTTCAGCAGAGCCATAGTCCTGGGTAAAGTGCAGGCTGGGTATAAAAGAAGAACATGCCTTTATACATGCCCCCAGTGTGAAAATGCAGTAGGAAAACCACAAAGGATATTGAACCCCATAGTAGGGAGTTCAACCTTCATCTTTTAGGATGAAGGTGTTGGGGGAACATTGGAGGCTTTTAGGTAGAAGAGTACTCTGATGAGATTTGTTTTACGAACACTCTCATCAGTGGTATGGAGGTGAGAGCGGTAGGATGGAGACAGGTCAGGATTTTATAAATGCAAGGAGAGGATAAAAAGCCCCCAAAACTGATGGGGTAGAGAGGAAGGCTGGATCAGAAAGAGGGAGGTTGTTTGTGAAGACTGCATATGGGCAGTTTGGTTGGTTTCGTAGGAGGACGTCACTTTCAGCTCATACAGAGATGTAGAGGTAAGGCAGGCTCCTCGGGTGTGTTTGTCAGCACCAGCAAGGGAATGGTTGGAGGGCAAAGGCAGTTCCACCAGTAACATGCTAAGCTTAGATTTCCACCCAGAAACTGCAGACAACTGGAAGGATGCATCTGCAGACCAGGATAGAAGTCTGGGGTGAAGCCATGTGAATTCTCCGCCCTCCCTTCTCAATTGAAATACAGTTCTCAGGAAATATAATACTCATCTCCACAGAATGAGAAAATACCTTCCAGAGTTCCCACAGCTTTGAGTGAACTGCTCCCATCTCCCACATATTCAGAGTTATCTAATATAAAATCTAAACTGGGCAGAGATGAAAGCAGATAAAAGAAATATCTCAAAAGTAGACCCCGTGAGATTTTTTTTTGACTGATTATTTTGGAGGCTCAAGGTCAGAGGACGAGGTCAGAAGATGATGAGGTCAGGGTCAGAAGATGATGAGGAAAGGAAGTGATAATGCTTCCCCAGTTGACTTCTCTGTTCATACTTCCTTCTTTAATTTTTCTCACTCCAGCTTGAGGCAAAAAGCAGCTAACTTCTATGGCAAAAAGGCATGCCTGGGAATGTGGCTCTTCTTCCGTTTCTATTCTCTCCTTTGTGATATCTACCCTCACCTGCACACAAAATTCAATTACATGACTAATCTGTATTTTAATCTAGACCTATTTGCTAAGGTACAAGAAATGGCCACTGTGGCTTCTCAGATCGAGGTGGAACTTCTCTTTCACAGATGCTACTTCTCCGAAACCTCCAGCTAGATTTCTCTATTTAATACAATGCTGTGTCTCCTTTATGGTCCAATTTGCCTCATGCTTAGTAATGACAACATTCAGATTCCAGAAATTGCTGATTAGAAGAAATGTCTTTGATGATAAAAATGTCCTTGTGCTGTCCAGTTCAGTGAGGCTGTGGGGCACTTGAAATGTGGCCGCTAATGACCAAGGCACTGAATTTAATGTGTTTTGACTCATTTATTCACAGCCAGTGGCTACTCTATTACACAGAGCAGTGCTAGGTGCTTGTTCTTCCTCTTTCTGTGAGAGTAAGGGGAGTTGCTGACTCACCTGAGGCCCTCATTTCCCACTTCCCAGTGTGTTCTGTATAAGTCCTTCCTTGCCTTGCCTCCTTGGTCTGCTGTAGCCTTTTGTCCAGCCCACATATGGATCAGGCCTTCTTCCCCAAGGTCTGGGTACATGCCCCCAGTGTGCAATGACTGGCTTACAAGCAAAGCTTATCAGCATTATTATTTTCATTATGACAAACAGTTCCATTAATAGCAACAGATTTCTTTGTTTACTTTTTCCGGGAACATGTCACACCCACAAAGAAGAGAGACTGTTCAAAAGAAAAAGAATTAACAAGGAAAGTTAGGCAAAAGTAAGTCACACTCTAGACCCACGAAGCTTCTTCCCCGACATTGGATCCTCTCACAATAGGCCTAGGAGCAATGTAGAGGGCCCAGGTAAGAGAAAGCTTGATATGGACTGAAAGTCCCCACGCTTAGTCACTGGCTCATGAGAGCCACAGCTGTCATGTCTCCAGCATTTGGGGTTAAGTCCAGCAATGCGGAGGTCCAACCTGTTACTCGTGACACATGGCCCAGTGCCCATAGTCATACCACGTATGTAGGAATGGTAACATACCCCAATGACTGAATTCTGTGCTGAGTTCTCATCAATCTACTTCAGCGCCTTTTTGGATCCTGCTCCCCTTGTAGCACATTTTCAGTGTTGTTAGAGACCTTTGGTTTCTCCCATCTTCCAGGTGGGTCCTAACAATTTCTATGGATGCCATGGGGCATCCACCTGTTTTCTTGCTCCCTTGTGCTGGCTCCAAGGATGGTATCACCCTTGAAACCCTTGACATTACCTTGTTATGTACATTCTAGCAGGGATACCCTTCCTCCCCACATTTGATGCTACTTCAGCAGGGTGGTCACAGAAGTCCCAGCAGGCTGGACTACTGAGGTAAGGGAGAATGGCCCTGCATCTGCCAGATGTCTCACTAGTCCGGTTTCTCCAAAACTTCTTTTAATCTCTGACCTCTTTCTAAGACAGAAATGCATCTCTGCATACTACAGCCTCTGACCTAAAGAGGAAGAACTGTATATAGTGCTTCTCATTCATTCTTCCCCCACTGCATTCCTGCTAAAATATTCCCATGCTTCCTTTAGCTCATTTGCATAGCCTTAGACTAAATGATCAGTCCCAGTGGCTGTTCTTTGAGCTACAGGTGGAAGACCTTGAAAATAACAGTTAATGGAGGAGCAAGACCTAAGAAAAAAATTTTAACTGAGGTGCCAGGACACACTGATATAAAGCAAACTCTTAGCAGCATGCTGCCAAATTGTCATTGAAATGTCAAATTACTTTTTATTGCAACTGAATGTATCCCCTTTTATGATGACGTCTGTCCAATGGGGGTTGAATAAAGTATTTCTTACCCTTGGTATATAACATAGTCTGATATTTCCAGGTCCTTGGTAGGAGGTGAAGGGTGACTGTAAGCTGGCATCCAGCAATGAGAATATGGGGCATGTGACAGGAACACAATAGGTCAAGGGAACCCAGTTAGGGCAGAGTCCTCTTTGAACAACAATACAAGGCTCAATGGTAAAACATGTAAATAGAGGAATAAGTCTGGATATAATTAAAGTCCATGGAAGATTTTTTAATGCCATATGAAATTCTGGTACTTGAAAGTATACATGAAGAAAGGTTGGAAATCACAGACCCGAAAGGAGATAGAAGAAAGAATCAAAAGCAAGGGGACAAGAGGTTGTTTCAATGTATCATTGATAGGAATGAAGGAAGAGCAAAAACTTGTTGATAGAACGACGTTTTGAAATAGAGAGGGGAGCTGAGGAAACTCTCAGAGATGACCTCGACCCTTACAGTAGGAAGTAGTCATCTGTTGATAAAAATCATGAGTTCCATCTGCTTACTTTGGGCCAAGACCTGTGCCAAGTGGTTTACACCTATTAACTTGTTTAATGTCCACAATACTTCCACAGAGTAGGGACCACTATTAGTTTAACAACGAGGAAACTGAGACTCAAGGAAATTGTGTGTGTTCCCATGACGAAAGAAGCAGGAAATGAAGAACTGGTTTCTAATGGGGTGAATACAGCAGGATGAAGGTGGAGTTGACTTAGTTCAGCTATATTGGGAATGTTCTGTGAATCAACAAAAGAAGAATAAAGGGATTGAGCCAGCAGACTTTTCCCAACAAGGAGAGGAATACAGACACCAGGGACTGGTGAGCGTGGAGCTCTGCGCCGGGAGACAGTGTGTTTCCAGGGCACTGGTGAACTTGTTAGGCAAGAAGAAAGGGCAGGCTCAGAGGGACCCCCAGCACATGATTAGATGGCTGTGGAGATAGGGAAGGAAAAAGTTGTCCTGGGTGGGAGTTACCCTGAAGACAAGATGTGGAGACCTGGACCTAATCCAGGGACAGGCAGAGCTCATGTGAGAAACAAAGCCCAGCTACACAATGGTTAGGGGGGGTCTGAATTCAAATTTGACTTCAGCATTCTGTTAGGAGATTCATTTTGCTTTCAAATGCTTGTGTGCTGTCAGCGACGTGGGTGTGACAGCCTGACTGAAGGGTGGCAATTCAAGTGAGCCTCGGTTCAGCATCAAGTGCTGTCAACACAGCCAGAGGGCAGTGGCCAGAACGGCACTCACACTGGCCAGGAAAATTCAGGAAGTGCCAACTTCCTGCACACTGGCTGGGAGGACAGGGCCTGGGGGTTTCCAGGGGTCTGAGCGCAAGGACCCTATGATGGGGAGGTCAGTGCGAATACGCCCCCTCCTCCTCTATGGAAGAATGCCCAGCAGCTTCCGGCCGCTGCTGCAGCAGCATGGGACTCACTCTGAGCCCTAAGAGCAAGGCGTTATTTTCTTCTCTCACTTGGTAGATACTAACTCCCACGCAGGAAAAAGGAAGCACATTTTGTCAGATGCTGCGGCCACTTCCTCTTCCGAAGGCTCCAGCCAATCTTTCGCTTTGCAGAACTGAGGGGCCAACACCTGCGGTGGGACTGCCTGTGCGCTGCTCCGCTGATTGGTGCCGGGTTTCCCTGCTCCACCTGCCCTTGGTGGGTGCAGGCCCCCTGCATCACCTCTGCAGGCCACTGGGGTTTTCTGATATACATCTGGACCCCTGAGTCGGCACTGGCTGGGGCCCCATCCGCTTCTTAGCCCCCTTGGGGGTTCCTCTTCGTTCTCTGCCCATTCTTTGCACACTGCTTCATGTCCCTCAGCCAGCCTGCCTGTCTGTTTTTCTCCTTAGCACGGTCAAGGAGTGTGATGACCGGCGAGCAGATGGCGGCCTGTCATCCATCTGCTACCCCCAACCCACTGGAAAGGCCGATCAAGATGGGCTGGCTGAAGAAGCAGAGGTCCTTCGTGAAGAACTGGCAGCAGAGATACTTTGTGCTGAGGGCACAGCAGCTCTACTACTACAAGGATGAAGAGGACACAAAGCCACAGGTACCCACCAGGCTATTTGTCCCCCTTACCAGGGCTCTCCTTTCCAGGCTCACAGCAGGCAGGTGTAGAGACCATAAAGGCAGTGAGTGTATAGACTCACTGGAGCCTTCGCGCTAGGACTGGACACTCATCCATTGGAGAGAAAGAGAGGTCGCTCTGTTCTTTGTTAGATCCATTAATGGAGTACAAAGATGAGAGTGACCATCTTCCACAAAGGCCTGAGATAAGCACAGTGGAGCTCCCCTAAATAAGGCTGTAAATTAAGGCTGCTGGGCTGGACTTCGTGGTGATGCAGAGTATGAGGGTTCAGAGAGAATGGATTTGGGTTCAGGAACATTGTCTTTAGGCTTTCATGTATTTGAAATAAATACATATTTGTTGAGTGGTTATTATGCACCAGACACTGTTCCAGGTATTTGAAATAAATCAGCAAGTAAAATAGATTAAAACACCTGCCATATGAAACTTAGAAAATAGGGTGGAAGACAGAAAATAAACACAATTAAAAGAATAGAGTTTGTTAGAAAATGACTAGTTCTATGAGGAAAAAATAGAATGGGCTAAGTGGGTTCAAGAATTGGGGAGAGTTCTGCAATTTTTAAAAGATTGACCTCCTGAATAGGAGGAGATTTGAGCAAAGGCAAAGGAGGAAAGATAACAAGCCAGGCAGGTCTTTGGGGAAGAGCCAGGGCAGAAGGAACAGCCAGTACAGAGGCCCAGGGGTGGAGCATGTCTGATGTGTTTAGGGAATAACAAGATGGTCAATGTGGAGGCAGAGCTAGAAAGGAGAGAATTACATGAGGTCAAATACGGGATGGTGGGGGGCTTGGTCAGGGCACAGATTACAAAGGGCATTTTAGGCTCCCATGAGGAGTTGGGTAGTTACACTGAGGACAGTGGGGAGGATAGCATGGTCCTTAGAAGAGAAGGAACATTCTTTGACTTTTATTGTAAAAGGATGAGCATGTTCAAAAATAGATTCAGGGTCAAGGGAAGGAGGTAATATAGGTAAGAGGTTATGATGCTTAGAATCTCAGTGGGAATTATGGGCTGGAGGAAAATGATCAGACTCTGAATATATTTTGAAAGTAGGACAAACAGGATTTCCTGATGGAGTGGATGGGGCTAGAGAAGGCTTTCACCCCAAATCTTGGGCAGAGGTTTCTTCTTCCCACTTCATTGAGTCTTCAAGGTCAGTGCGGTGTGGGAGACTTAGAAGGGTTGCTGTCAACAATGACTGTGGAACTCCAGGTGCAAAGTGGATGTCTCAGGGCCACCAGGTGGAAGAGGGCTTGTGCAGAAGGAACTTAGTAGAGAAAACAGACTTTGGAACCTTCTGTAACCAGGAAAAAAGCCCCTAAGAAGGGTGAGAATGTTGGGGAGGATGACAGGCTAGGGAAGGAAATGAACAGGTTGTTTTGGAAGAGGACTGTGTTCTTTAAGGGCAGGCTTGAGGGACTGTGACACATCAGCAGCACCTGGTTAACCAAACCCTTCATTGAAGGGCTGGGGTGTTAGTGTATGTCACTAAAGAGACGGGAGAACCCACCACAGACCGGTTTTTGCCCAGTCTCCTGTGCAAGCATGGTAATCAGACTTTCTTCACTTTATGTACAAACCAGGCACTATGAGGGTCAAGCAGGGCAAGACTTGGGTGACTGGTGCTTTTCTAGCAGATGCAGGAAATATTCCCATCTGCAGAAAGTAAGGGAGATGGCAATAATGCTTTCATGTTCCCAAACAATGGAAAGGGCAACTTGGTGGGCTTTACTTTCATGCAGCATTGAGGGTGAGAGATACATTAAGTTTAAGCTTGTGTTCTTTTCCTGCCTCGACTGCTGTTTGACCATGTAATTTTAAAATTTTTCTGGACCCAACTTTCTTCTTTTGTAAAATGGGACAATAATACCTGTCTTGTGTTTGTCACAGGATCAAATAATAGGAAGCATGTGTTAAAAAAAAAAACTGTTTATAAAAGCATAAGCTGATAAAGTATAAAATAAATTATTGAAGGCCGTAGCTTTTCTCCCTTAATTCACAGGACTCAAAGTCCTGTCAGGATTAAATTCGTCTAGGATAATTAGGCAAAGCTTCTAGGATGACAGGTATGCTTATTTTTAGGAAATCTATTAATATGTCAAATCAATAGGTTGAGATCAATAAGTCAAATGAGAAAAACCATACAATCCCTAAAGAGATGGCTGAAAAAGGTATTTGATAAAATCCAATACTCATTTTAGATTCAAAAAATTAAAACTTTTAAGAATAAAATTTCTTAAAACGATCAAATATTTTCACTTTATATGGTTATGTATATTTTGATTATAAAATCTACATGTATTCATAGTAGGAAATTTGGAAGATACAGAAAAACACAAAGTGGAAAATAAAAATGATCCCATCAGTGTGGTAACTTTAGCTTTTTTCATACATATATATTTAAAAACTCTTCTCAGAGAAAAATTACTATAATAATATTCTGTGATTTAAAAATCAACAATGTCATGATTAATGTCTCTTATTATTAAGTATTCTCCTACAGTGGCAAACCAGTGTCCATACCTGTTATATGGATATTCTATAATTTTTAACCTACTGGAAACTAGTTGAGAATTTGGGCTGAAGTTTTTGTATTATACAAACAGGAGTTAAGTGAACTTTCTTATAGACTTCATACATTCATAATTGTCTTATTACAAGAAAGTGTTCTTATCATACTATCATTTAACATTATTTTGAGATTCCTAGGTAGCTCACATATCTGTAAATAAAGTGAAAGTTAAATACATGAGTTAAATTCTTGGGGAAAAATAAAGGTATGTTTCCATGGTATCTTTCACATTATTCATAATTCTGGTGAATTAAAGACTTAAATTGTAAAAAGTCAGTTCATATAAGTACGTAGAAGAAAATGTGGTTCTCTGCATAATCTCCAGAAGGCAGATGGGGTTTTCTTTAAATCAGATTTTATAGATTTACCATTTGTTTACAAAACTATGATTTTAGGACAGTGTAACATGGGACATGTGTATGTGTGTGTGCTTCACTCCCCACCACCCAATTTCTTTTTTGTTTTTAAGATTTATTTATTCATGCATATAAGAACCAGTGTACAGGCCAGATGTGTGGGAGGGTGAGAGGATTTACCAGAGACAGGGCGGGGGAAAAGAACAGGCAGACAAACTGAAATACACTGCTGAGGGGAGCAGCGAGTGAGGCTGGAGAGGTCTGCCGCGCCATGTGGGAATCTCCTTGGCCGGCCTGGATCGAACCCCCGCTGCAGAAGCTGCGGACAGCTTCACAGCTCTGTGCTCAGCCTCCTGCGCCACCAGGGGAGGCCCCCCACCACTCAATTTCCACTGCCATTGCACTTACCAAATTGGCCCACTCCACCCATGCTCCCACCCCCTTCCCTTCCCTTCTGATAATCATATTTTTCAAGAGGCAGGAGCCATATTTTTGTTGGAGGCAGGAGCTTTAAGCATTACAACAAAGATAGCACAAGGAAAAGACTAATTTAATAGGATAAATAAAAATGTGTCTACCTTAAAAAACAACATAAGAAAGTGGGAAGGCAAATAAACAGACAAAACTTTGCATAACACGTGGTAAACAAAACATTTAGTTAAATCATTCTTTCAAATCTACAATTTAACTCCAACCAGCTCAACAGAAGAGTGGTGGCCAAATGACGCAAATGGAATCTTATCAAAAAAATATAATGGCCAATACACGTTTATTAAAAAGTTTTATCTCAGCAATAAAGACATGCAATGTAAGCCAATGAGACACCACTGTCTCCTTATCAAATTGGCAAAGATTTTTCCAGATGTTTGAGTGTGATAAGGAGAAGGGAGCAGGGCTTCTTATACAAAGCTAGTGGAAATCAAAATTCACACTTCTGGAGAGTAATATATGCCTTTGTCAGACTCTTCGACTCTGTGTTTCTAATTCTGGGTTTTAATAAGAGTATGATGAAGATTAGCATAGATAAATTAATCATGCTATTTATAATAATAATGTGAAAGCCATACCCAGGTAGGGGTTAAGTTTTATCAGGGGTCTTTTCTATATTTACACAGTGGGTACAAAGCTTTTTGAAATGGAAAGATATCCAGAAACTGTTTGGTAAAACAAAAACCGAAAAGTGCAGTTTACAACAGAGGATTATGTATGTACTAATCCCATTGTTGAGGGGGAAAAAACATAAATTTGTATTTATGGGAAAGACTTGAAAAATGCAGAGATATTAACAGTAGCTATATCTGAATATATTTTTTTATTTTTCTTTTTTTTTTCAAATTTTCTTATAACTGAAATATAGCTTAGTTGTAACTTTTGAAAGAATACATACATTCTATTTCTAAAACCTACCCCCCCCAAAGAAACACCTCAATAAGTTTGGAGCAATCACATGAAAAAGATCCTCATCTACATTGATGATGTGTGTGTAAGTTTGTGAAACTTCTAGAAAGTTGGCCGGATTTCCAAGGGCCAAAAGACACACATACACAACTAAAAGACCCATAAAATATAACTTTACACCCATCCTTCTGGTTTTAAGAGACTATCTAAAAGAAATAATAAAATATATGCAATTCTATTAATAATGGGGAGCATTGGACCTATTGTCCAACAAAGGAGACGAGGAAAGAAATAATGGAACCCTGTATGACAGGCCCCTGGGCATGTAGTTCTGGGAAACTGGGGGCTCTGTGCAAGATGGTCTGTGCATTTTCTTCACTGAGATTTTAGAAAGGTCTGTGCAGCTTTGACAGCACAATGTTCTGGAAACCTATCACCTAGTTTCTATAACTCATTCGGATAGTTTCCTCTCAGGGAGATTGTTTAAAACAGAATCCCCACACACTGTCCCGAAGTCTCTGCTATGGTGATTGTTTTAGAGACTCAGCTTGGCCGTACCTTCGTCTCATCTCTCCCCCCTTTCTGTGAAGTCACCACAGGTAGTTGTGTTTCAGTGGTACTAGCAAATATTTAACAAGCAGTTTTCTGGTGGGGGAGCAGATGTGGATGTAGCATTTGCCAATTTATGTGGTGTTATTCCTTCCCCTGGCCCCACAGTAGATTCTGGCTATCAAAGAGACCTCACTGAACACAGAGCTGAGGAGATGTGCAGGAGCACAGTGCTATATAGTATTTCCAGCACACAGACAGAATAGACATCAATAACCAGAAGAACAGAAATAATAGTAAACAATAGTAAATAACTAAGAAGTAATGAATTTTGAGGATTATTACCTTTATTTTTAATGTTTCACTGTAAGTTTATATAATCCAACTTTTTTATTATATATATTTTCTACATCATTTTTCATTTTTGTACAATGTATGCATTTTCATCTTGGTTATAGTCCCCATAAAATTCCTACCACTTTGTTTGGATCCTACTCCCCGCCCTGTAGTGTGTCTCTGGTTTATAGTTGCCTGTTGATTTTGATTTTTACTTTATTATAATCCGTCTTCTTCCTGATCCCTTTTCTGGGTCTTCTAAATTCCTACTATGAGTGAGACCATCCAGTATTTTTCTTTTTCTTTCTGGCTTACATAATCCAACTTTTAATAATGACTGTGTTTAACAATTAACTCACAAAATTCCTGAAAATATGAAAGTTCATTCTCCTGAGTCAATATAAGTTGGCTCTAGCACACTACTGCCACAATTGCTCCCTGCTTCATTGGACTCCAGCACATGGCTCCCCTCCCCACCCTTTGTACAGAGTCCACCCTAATAAACTTGTAAAGTTGGTGAATGTTGACCATGAGCCACTTGGCCCTTCCTTGTCTGGGACAATTCCTCTTTCCCCATCAGTGTCCCCACCCCAGCCCCACTATCTCTTCTACTTCTCAATCTTCCTCTCTCCCACTCTGTTCATTCACAATGGTTGTGCTCAAAATTTGGAAAGGGTTTGCAATTTGCCATTGATGGGTTGGTATGAATCAGTTTAACAACGACGGTTATTTCTTCTGCAAGTAAGCAGAACTTGTAAGTGAAGTTTTTCTTGGAATTCTGGAATCCTACTGACTGAGATTTAAATTATAACTTTCCTGTTAACTAGCTTTATGATCTTTGACTAGCTTATTCATCTCTCTGAGACTTACTTCCTCACCAGCCAATAGGAAAAAAGTCCATATTGTCCCTCAAAACGTTCTCTCTCTCTCTTTTTTTTAAGATTTATTTTTATTTATACAAGAACCGGAGTACAGGCCGGATGCGTGGGAGGGTGAGAGGATTCACCAGAGACAGAGTGGGGAACAGAACAGGCAGACAAACTGAAATACACTGCTGAAGGGAGCAGTGAGCCAGACAGGAGAGGTCTGCAGCACCATGTGAGATTCTCACCAGCCGAGCAGCCAGGATCAAACCCACACTGCGGACAGCTTCACGCTGCCGTGCTCAACTGCCTGCGCCACCAGGGAGGCCCTCGCCAGTTCGATCCCCGGCCGCTGGGCGAGGGTCCCACATGGCGCACAGACCTCTCCTGCCCCCCGCTGCTCCCCTTAGCAGTGTATTTCGTCAGTCTGCCTGTTCTGCTCCCCGCTCTGGCTCTGGTGAATTCTCTCACCCTCTCGCGCTTCTGACTGTACCCAGTGCTTGTATAAATAAAATAAATAAATCTTTAAAAAAAAACAAAGTTCTTAAGGCATTTAGCACAGAACCTGGCACCTGGTAACTACTCAGTAAATAAATATATAAATTGTATTTACATGTTTATTTTATTTTTACTATTTTTGGAAGAAATGACTTGGGGTAACAAATAAGAGTTTTCAGAGGCACTTAGGAGAGGCAGGCATGTCCTCAGTGTCATGTTCCTTGTCTTCCTAATAAGCAAGATTCCCCCTGTCTGACACTGACATGGCCTTTTTTCTCCCCTCCCCTCACTCCCTCCTCACCTACCTTCTCGTCTTCCTCTTTTTCCTCTTCCTGTTCTTGTTCCTCTTCTCTTACTTCTCCTTCTTCCTCATTCGTCTCTTTTACTTCTACTCCTTTGGCACTCAGTCCCAGCCATTTTGATTTCCATACCGTGAAGAAACAGTCATTCAGGCTCCTGAGCTAAACCTTAAGGCACTTTTGCCTTTATTACTGCTCTCTTGCCAGTCCTTTCCTTCCATACTTTGTTCTGTAGTAAAGGCACACATACTTATTCAGCTAAGAATCAGACATGCTGCTTTTGACAGCCAGCACCATATAAACCAAGTAGTGTACCTGAATACCATGAACTTTCCTGCTGTCACTCAGACTGGCAAAGTAATAAATCTTGTATGTTCTTGACATAGAACTGCCCTGGGGATCTAATGATATATTGCACACGAATGTGTGCTGTGGGCCTCCCCTGGTGGCGCAGCAGTTGAGCGCTGGGCTGCAAAGCTGCCCGCAGCCTCTGCAGCGCCGGTTCAATCCCCGGCCGCTGGCAAGGGTCCCACATGGTGCACAGACTTCTCCTGTCATGCTCGCTGCTCCCCTCAGCAGTGTACTTCGTCGGTCTGCCTGTTCTGTTCCCTGCTCTGGCTCTGGTGAATTCTCTCACCCTCCCACGCTTCCTACTGTACCCAATGCGTGTATAAATAAATAAATAAATCTTAAAAAAAAAAAAAAAGAATGTGTGCTGAATTGACAGAGCACTGAGCATACATTTGGCGGAAGTGACTCATTTTTCTGATAACGTATTTATTCATAAGTGGCAGATATCCTACAACACCCTCTCTCCCCATTTTGGATCTGTGCTCCCTCTCCTCCTTACTCCCAGGGGGACATTAAACTGAACGGTCCCCACTACCTCAGCTGGGATGGTGAGAAGACAAACTGGAAGCCCTCTTCTGAGGTGAATTACCACTCTGCCACTTACTAGTTCTGTGACATTGGGTAAATTCTAGAACCTTTCTAATGCCCAATTCCCTCCCCTTATACACATCATAATTACATGTTGCTTGGAGGATTGCTGGAAGGACTAAATGAACAATCTATTCAAGGTGCTTAACCAAGGGGCAGACCCCTGGAAAGTATTTCCCAGTACTTGCTGCTACTAAGCAACCCCAGGCCCTTGAATGGCCCTTTAATGGTTGTCAACAGCTGCCCTGGAAGCCCAGCCAGCACTGTGGTCCACAGGCCCAGCATTGCCTTCACAAAGATCAGGTATCTGTTTTGGCCAGGTGTCTGGCCCTTGGAAAAGTGGAAGAGGCAAGTGTTGTGATGGTACCCTGTCAGGACCTCATCCTTTTCTCTCTAGACACCTTGCTTGCTCTCAGTAGCTATTATTTAATCCCATGGAAGCCTGCATAGAAGAAGGACCCCATTCAAAGCTGAGAGGCTAGTTTTCCGTGTTCCTCTCCACTCCTCTCCTCCCCCACCCTCTCATCATCCTATCTGTTCTTCAACTTAATATTATTCATAGTTCATAGATGATAAAATTACTGCTAATCTTAAACACTTGACTTTTGGTATTCCAGGGTTGCATGTATCTGCCAGGAAGTACGATCAAGGAGATTGCAACAAACCCAGAAGAGGCTGGGAAGTTTGTCTTTGAGATCACTCCAGGTAGGTGATAAAAGGTGGAGGCAGAGATGGATTACATTTCCAGTTTACTTCTGGAAACTTGAAGTTAGTGAGTCTGTCAGCTAACCAACCAACCAACCTAGGGAAAGCACACACTAGTTCTGCTTTTGGTTAACAAACCTACACTAGTTGATTAGCTATCATCATGTGAACTTAGTGGGTGTGCATTCAGTCCAAGCTCATAGGCATTTCAGAGGGCCCGCTTGGAGCCAGATGTTGCACTAGGCACTGGGACTCTGATCTGAAGAGTACATCATCCTGCTAACTAAAAGAACACAGTCTAAAAGGTGAAAGGGACATTTGCTTAAAGCTAAAATATGAATTGAGGGGCCTCCCTGGTGGCGCAGCAGTTGAGTGCTGGGTTGCGAAGCTGCCCGCAGCCTCTGCAGTGCCGGTTCAATCCCTGGCCACTGGGTGAGGGTCCCACATGGCACGCAGACCTCTCCTGCCGCCCGCTGCTCCCCTCAGCAGTGTACTTCGTCATTCTGCCTGTTCTGCTTTCCGCTCTGGCTCTGGTGAATTCTCTCACCCTCCCATGCTTCTGACTGTACCCAGTGCTTGTATAAATAAATCTTTAAAAAAAAACTTAAAAATAATTTTAAAAATGAAATATGAATTGAGCCAACTGAAATTGCCATTTTGGTAGGTCAAAATTGATCAGCAATCAAAAGTTTCAGGTGGTTCAGCATGTCCTAGGAGAAATGAAAGTTTAGACTCCTTTAGTATGTGTTAGGTACTGTCATTTACCTACTGCACACATGGCTAGCACACTGGGGAGCAGTTCTTCCCAGTCAAAAGTTACAGTCCTTGAACACATATATCTCAAGGATAGTGCATTTGTGTTTCTGGTAATCTTCTCCCAGACTACTTCTCCCCATCTCTTGCTCCTTTGCAACCCCAGAACCGCACATCTGACTGGGAAACCAGACTGCTGACACAGCAGGGGAGGCCACCAGTTCCTTGAGTACCCCTTCCCTTACCACTCACACAAAGCACCTGTATGCTTAAGAAAGCTGATGGAGAAGGCAACAAAGCAGAGAGGTTAGACATGCCTAGCCTGGAGCCAGCCTGCCCTACCGCTTTTTATTCAGCCCAACTAGTAATCAAATGGCACCAGGCTATTTAATTTCTCCCTGCCTCAGTTTCTATATCTGTAAAATGGGGATACTGATGATCATAGTGAGGATTAAGGAATATATGTGAATATTTTGGTATTGGCCTGGTCTATAGTTACTGCCATGTAAGTATTTGATATCTCAGGGATAACTGGAGGAAATTATAATGTAGAAACCAGTCCTAAAACTGGCTGTAACCATTTATAGACAACAAAGAAAAATTTATTTTTAAATTGCGCTCTTTTATCCAAAGGTTCATCCATCTCTCTTCCTCTTCAAGGAAGAGCCTATTTTTTTGGTCTCTCCTCGCTGGGAAAGCTCTACTCCTTTCACGTAAGGCTTCTTCCATCTGCAAGTTCCCATTCCCAGCACAAATCATGGGACAAAACCACCCATGCTAACACATGTCTGAGAACCTGAATTTTCAATCTTACCCTGCTGAAAGCTACAGCGGCAAATTTACTGTGGTCTTTACACCAGAAGTCCATTTCCCTCAAAGATTGTTGTGTTGGTTGGGGTAAGATGAAGATTTGTCCTCTCATATTGCTCACACTTGCAGGGACTGCAGAAGGAAATCTTGGAAAGTGTCACACACACACACACACACATATGCAGACACAAAGGATGTCTCATAAGGACAAGTTTTCTCAAGCAAGAGTCAGGTAGGGAACCATTTCCTAAATACACTTTTATCTCTCAACGCTTCACCAACCAAAGTGAGACAACCCTTTCTGTTATGATGTAAAGAATTTTCAGTTCCTCTTTTTGTCATGCTCTTGTGCAAGATGATTCTTGCACAAAGTTGGTAGAAAAAGTGTCCTTTCTACTCATGGCCCCCTCTCTGTGATCACCAGTTTTAGTTTCATAAAGGTCACAGAAACTTTCATTATAGTTAGTGTTTGCCTTTATTTGGGGGCAGCCAGGCCTTAGGACAAGCTTCCTTCTTCCTGTCTGCCTTTGACAGGGTGACTATCTGTTCTCCTACTCAGAGGGAGTCACTTTGGATGGGGGGTTATTCTTTCTATTGCATATGCTGCATTTATTGTCATAAAAACTGATGAAATGTTGTCATTCATTCATACAGAAAATCTTCTGAGCACCCGCCATGAACTAGGGCACTAGTTTAGGAACTTGGAAGCCAGCAAAGAATACAACAGCATGCATGCAGCTTACAGTCTGATTGGAGGAAACTGACAACAGACCAAATATATGAGTATATTGTAGTCTTTATGATGAGATAATTGCTATGGAAAACATTGAAGCAAAGAAAGAAAAACTGCTGGCTGAATGAGGACAGTGGGGATTGATTTGTCATTTAAAGTGGAGTGGGCAGAGTAGGCATTACTGATGTGAGGAAGTGAGCTAAGTACATGTATGGAGGAAGAACATTCCAAAAAGAGGAACAGTCAGTGCAGAGTCTGAAAGCCTATTTCACACACTCAGGTGACATCAAGGAGGCCAATTAGAATGGAGCGATGCAGGAGAAAAGAGGAGGGGAATGGATGAGTGTGAGCCCAGATTATACAGGCACTATTAGGAAATTTAGTTTTTATGGTGGAAGGATGAGAAGCTATTGGAAGTTCTTAACTTATGACTTAAAATGGTCTGAATTATGTTTTAAAACTCTTTTTAGTTGAGAATTAAAAGGAGAAAGGACAGAGAGCAAGGAGACCAATGAGGAGACAGCTATAAAAATCCAGGTCAAAGATAGTAACAAGTGGGTGAGAAAGAAACCAATTTCTGGACACATTTTGAAGGTGTTAGAGGATTTCATTAAGTCCTCTAATGGATTGGATGTGGGAAAGAGAAGTCAAAGTTGATGCTGAGGTTTTTGTCCAAATAAGGAAGATAGTTTTGCTGAATTTTGTGCATGGTGCAAGTTTTATGAGGAAAGATCAGGGCTTTAATTTCAGACATATTAAGTAGTTACCTCAATTTTAATGATAAGTAAGCTAGTTTTCAGTCTGATTTCAGGCTATTTCTGTGATAGAAGTAAGGGTAGGATTTAAGGCACTTAGAATAGAGACTGTCCAGTCAATTTGGAGACAGGATCAGATGCTAAGAAAGGTTCCATGAGAATGTGACAAGGACGTCTTTCAGATTGTTCATGTGACAACTGAAGAGTCTGCCAGGGATCAAGGTGAACTATTAAGGCAAGGTAGGGAAGGACACTTGACACATTTTGGCCAAGATCAAATTTGCAGCAATGTGGGTTAGTGGGAACCCTATTGCGTTTGTCAGTAATTTATTGAGGACCAATGGGCATGTCCTTTCATGTTTGGGCTTCAGTTGCATAGTCTGTAGAGTTATCTGTTATTATCTAGAAAGGGTCCTAGAGCCCTGTTTTATTTCAAAGGGAGACCGAGATTCTTACCAAATTCTTTGATTCTTTCCTGAGCACTTTGTACTTAACCATTTTACTTCTGGAAATACACAGGGTCTCAGGATGTTCCCGAATGGCCAGGGCTTTCATGGACTCTTCCTTCTGGTCAGGACAACTGATGATGGATTATAAGATGGATTCAGAATCAGGTTATCCCAAAGGGTAAAAATTTGAGGCTCAGTAACGTTAAGATAGATCCAAGAGACAAGAACCAAAGGGAAATTGTAAGTGTTTTGTTGCCTTGAAAAAAATATGTTTGGGCACAACTGGGTTGCTATATCAGGCTCCTTTTCCGGGAAATGTCCTGACATTATGAGAATAGGGTGATGGCTATAGAGGCACTTCGAAATTTAATAGTATCCTTTAATTGAAAAGTATTGCTTTTATTTTCTTATTCTTCCTAAGGCCTATGTTTGATATTCTTTTTCTCCTTCTCTTTTCCCTCCCTATTTTTCTGTCACTTTCTGTCATTCTTTCTTTTGATCTCCTCCCAACCTTTTCATTTACTCTCCCCTTTTGTCCATCTGAGAACAGCAACCTATGGGAAACTACATATGTTCATCTGTAATCTTGTGTTTAAAGTGAAAATGTTATCATAACAAACTTCATTTGTCCATCAAGTATATATTGAGAACCTAGCTACCCTTTGCAACATCTTGTGCAGGCAGGAGGCCGGTAATCCTGAACAGGATGCATCAGTTTCTGAGAAAGGTATACACACGTGTTCATGCTCTCTCCCACCTGAGATGCCTCTCCCCTCACCACTCCCACAGCTGAATGAGTTGGGGAGGGGGCTTGGGAAAGTATCCCTGATTGGAGGGCCTACTGAAGTCTTTAAACTTGTATAGGTTCATGCTGACTCTAACACTGACACTCCCCTTGAACTTCCTCTTCCTTTTCAGTAGAAAATAGCTTCTGTCTTCCACAGGAATAGCTCTCAGCCAAATCATCCCTGTTTGTAAACCACTGTGTTCAGTGGTTTGTCTTCATAGCTAGGGTTTCAGCAAAAACACTGAGAATGCATCAACATACAGTTCCACTGAGCTTAAGCAGAGAATTTTTTTTTTAACTTCTTCTGGGGGAAACCATTATTTTTTCTTTTTCTTTATTTTTTTTTTACGTCATTGTTCATTTTTAAACAATTTTTTCTCCCTCCCCCCCTCCCACCACCATCACCTCTCAGGTATAGTCCCCATAGAATTTCCTTCACCAATGCAGATAAAGTTTTCTAGTTGTTTGACTGGTGGTTTCATTGACCCAAAGAAGCAATTCAAGTTCAGTTTCCCTTGCTTTGGCTCCTTTACCATTCAGAGACCTTCATTAGTGTTGCTTCTTCCTCCAGCCTCATGGGAGCAGAATCGTATGGGACAGGACTCCTATATCCTCATGGCCAGCTCCCAGGCGGAGATGGAAGAATGGGTTAAATTCCTTAGGAGAGTCGCTGGCACACCCTCTGGAGGTAAGGACCCCTGCAGACTTCCTGGGCAGGTGTCTGTGACTTCTCGGGGGTGGGGACATGGGAAGAAGTATCTGGAGACATGAACCCTCCTTGAACAGTGGCCAGAGGAGACCAGAAGACAATTCTGAGATCTTGCCCATTGTAAGCCTTTAGTTCCCCTTCCCGGGTCCTCTCAAAGAGTCCACTTTACATTAGCTGAAAGGGCTGCAAGTCCTTCGTTCTCACTGGCAAATGTGTATGATGTCCTGAAGCAGAACTTTCTCCTCTCTGGGCCTCAGTGCTCTCCTCTGTAAAACGAATGTGTTGGTCCAGCTGTCCCCATTCTCACAGCACAAACATTCTGCAGCACTGGTGGGGTGGGAGTTGGGGGATGTTGATGACAAGAGCTATGGTGAAAGCTATGTGAGACTGATCAGTCCAAGAAATTAAAGCCACTTTTCAGAAGAGGGCTGGTCAGACCAGGGGGAGGGTCAGGCAGTGCATCTAGAGATTTACAGCAAGGTTGTGGCATTTTTCTGGGTTACATGACTCAAGTATTTGAGCAGTCTGGCCTGGGGATCCTGGTGATATGTCTACACAGGGGCGGAGCTGCTTGCCAAAAATCGATGTGAAAAAACGTCTGAACTGTGCACTACGTGAACACAGTATGTGTTTTCCCTTTCATAAAAATATGAAAGAACTGACATGGGTGCAACACACATGACCATTTTCCTTCAACTTTGTAGGAACACACATATTTGTGTAAGCCCCTGCCTGGCTGCGTAAGAGAGAATTACTTCTCTACTGGGCTGCCCATTTTTTTGGAAATCATTTAGGTTGGCTTTAGCATCTCATATTTATTTAACTGACTATTTCTTTAAAAAATTATGAGCCCCATAAGAGTTTTGTGGAAATTTGAACAAAAACAGGAAAATATCACCCTTAAAACCACCAGAGGTATTTTTATGTTTTCCTTGCAGCCAGTGTTCACATAGGCATACTTTTCTACCAGAACGACGAACTTAGGATATATGCAATTAAATACCTTTTGTTTCATAGCTTAAGGGTTTCCCCGTGTAGCTATATAATCCTCATTGATGCAGTTCCAGGATTATTTGGTTACAAGAAATAAAAATTACCTCCATCGGTGTTAAGCAACCAAGAAGGATTTACTGGGTAGGTGCAGTAGTTACTGAAAGAACCCAAGGGCAGAACAGCCAAGAGATCAAGGGCTAAGAACCGGACCATTAACATTGTCCTTACCCTGTAGTTCCTCTGGGACTCTGAAGATTTATTTTTCTTTTCTCTGCATGTCTGCCTGTTTTTGTCTAGTTAGGAGCCCCCTCCTGCTCTCAACTAGTACTATAGTCCCAAATTCTACAGTACCAGCCCCAGTTTTCCTGTACTCTCCCTTGAGTACCACGGGGGCTGAGCTCAGTCTCCACTGAGAAAACTCCTGAGAACTCCTGAGAAAGAGCATCTACTTGGCTCAGCTGGAGTCAGGAGTGCACCTATAGATCCAGGAACTGGGACAGGGAGGCAGTCCTTAGCCTGTGATCAGCCCAATGGGTGCTGCAAAAAAAAGAGGCAACCTGGCCAGAGCAACCAGGCTCAAGTGTGTCAGTCACAGCCATCCTAAACAGCGGCATATTTCTGCAAGAGTAGCACCTTTCATGAGCCATTCCCTGTTCCCAAACACCTACATTTTACCTACTCAGACAGAGATGAGGGGTTTCTCTACTAAAGCTCTGTGGCATGCTATTCAGCGCACATAGTCTTGGCTATGGGCTTCCTCGTTGCCCTAGAATGATACTGGGAGCCACGTTGACATTTTCTGCATTCCCCTATGTATCGCTCTAGGCTGTTGGCATTGCCTCGGGGACGTCGCCTGCTCACACACCTGCTGTCCATGCACCGATGCACTGTGATAGGCATTTAAGCCCTGTGTGGTGCTTGCTCAGCCGGGCCATGGCTACATTCTGGAAATGCATATGGGGATTTCACCCTCACCCCACCTCCAGGCCACCACTCTGAGAAGCAAGTCAAGCATAAGTCCTGTAGGCAGCGGAAAGTCCAAGCGAGGAGAGATAAGAGTACAGCACTATTTATTTAGTCAAAGAGTGGGGTTTGGCTCTGATGTGGCATTGCAGATGTTGTTAAAGCCTCTCATCGAGCCACAATCATAGATCTCAGGATGAGAAGACATTTTAAGATAGCAAGGAGTCCGTCTCGGGCCGCAGGGCTGGTCAGACATTTGCTCTTCCTGTTTGTAAGTCAGGAAACTTGTATCCCAAGGAAGTAAATGATTTGTCCAAGGGACCCAGAAGTTGAGGGGTCAGGCCAGGACTCTCCGTAGGTGGCTGTCTTCCAGCACAGTGTGGGACTATAATTGTAAAGTGTCTCATCCTGGGTCTACTGGATTGGCAGGGCACACCTCCTCCAACATTATGAAGTCACTAAGATAACTGAAACTTACTATGGCTTTCTCCACCCAGAATCTGCCCACTGCTCACCACCTTCACTTCTACCACCCTGCCTGAGGGCCAACCTTTCTTGTCTGAATTGCAGCATTTGTCCTTAAACTCATCCCCAAGGTTTCATTCTTACCTTCTTATAGTCTGTTTACAACAGAGCAGTCAGAGAAAACTCTTTTCTGCTTGGCACTTTCCAATAGCTTCCTTTCTCTCTCATAGGGAAAGTCAAATTGACTTCTAACACAGAGCGCCCCATCCCCATTACCTCTGTGATGTTGTTTTCTAGAATCTTCTCCACATTCATTTTACTCTAGCTTCACCAGCCTCTTTGATCTTCCCCAAACCTTCCAGAAACATTGCTGCTGCCGGGCACTTGCACTTGCTATTTCCTCTGCTTGGAATCCTTCCCCACCCCCCACCCCCGCCCCCAGGTAGCTACATGGCTTGGTCTCTTACTCTCTTCAGATCTTTGCCCAAACATCACCTCAGTGAGCCTCTCCTGAATAATTCCATCTAACACTGAGCCCCTACTCCCCCTCCCACCCCATCCTTCCTGTCTTCTTTCCTGCTTCTCTTTTCTCCTAAGCATTTGCCCCTTCTAACATAATAAATTTTTACTTGTTTCTTCACAGTTGATCTTCCCTCACTAGAATGAAAGCTTCAGTCTACCTGGAAGGATTTTTTTTCCTGTTTGTTTCAGTGCTGTATCTCAAAACCTAAACAATGCATGACAGGAGGCACTAAGAAATGCCCTCCTCTTTCCATGGTGCCACTCCCTTCGCTCTCTGCTTGATTAAAGGTCAGCTTATCCGAGAAAGTAAATGGGGTGCTCCCAATAGCATTATCTCCTTTCAAGTTCTTTAATGGTGTGCTTGCATGAAGTTGTTTTTTTTTTTTTTTTTTTTTTAAGATTTATTTATTTATGTATACAAGAACTGGGGTAGAGGCCAGAGGTGTATGTGTGTGTGTGTGGGGGGGGGTGGTGGAGTGAGAGGATTCATCAGAGACAGAGTTGGGAACAGAACAGACAGATCCACGGAAATACACTGCTGAGGGGAGCAGACGGCGTGTCAGGAGAAGTCTGCTGCGCCATGTGGGTAGCTCCCTGGCCAGGGTTCGAACTCGTGCTGCAGTGGCTATGGATAGCTTCATAGGTTGTGTCTTAACCCCTTGCACCACCAGGGAGGCCCTTGGGTGAAGTTCTTAATGACTCATGGGCCCTCTTAGAGAAGCTGACAAAAGCTATGGAAACTTTCCTCAAAAAAATATCTACACAGAAGTTCTGTGTTGAACTGCAGGAGATTTTCTGACCCCAGTAGTCCATCTTTACCCCTGAGGTAATGGATCTCTACTTTAAGACTTTGAAGTCAATCTAGAAACAGTTCTGCAGAGCCAAAGCCTGTATCCTTTTCTCCCTTGAGAGGGAGAAATGACCCCACAGCACACCCAACTTCCTCCCTTTTGCTCCTCCTGCCTCATGGCTGACTCTGAGCATTCCTCCCACCTTGTGTGATTCTGGGACCAAATTCATGTCTGTGTGTGTTTTGCAGGGGGAACACTCCCCCACCTGTATAAGCAATTCAAGGACACCAGCTACTTGTGATTCACAATTTAGCTCAAGTCTACCCAGAGATAGCTTCCGATTCCACTGATTGAAGGCTCAGTCCCACAAAGCTGCCCCCTCCCATGCACATCCATCAGACCAGCCAGAAGATCCCTTATGCTTCCCACCAATGGTTTTAGATTGGTGGTTTCAACAATTCCTTCCTTGGATTTGATAATTTGATAGAGCAGCTCGTAGCAGTTAGGAAACCAATTTACGTACTAGATTACTGGTTTGTTATAAAAGGCTTATCTTTGGAATAGCCTCTCAGAAGAGAGGGATGGGGCAAGGCATGGAGAAAGTGTGCAGAGTTTCCAAGCCCTTGCCAAACCTGCTTCTCTCTCCATATCTCCATGTGCTCATCAAAGGGAAGCTCTCTGAACCCCGTCCTTTCGGGTTTTATGAAGGCTTCATCTCGTAGGCCTGCCTGATTAAATCACAGGCCATAGTGATTGATTTATCCTCTAGCCCCTCTTTCTTCCCTGGAGGTCAGGGAGGGGCAGAGCATTCCAACCCTCTAATCAATCACAAGATTGCTTCTGCTGGCAGAGCCCTGTCCCTAGGTGCTTTCAAAATTCACCTCATTCACATAACAAAAGCTACCATGATATCTTTCATCATGGGCAATTCCAAGAGTTTTAGGAGCTCTGTGCCAGGAATAGGTTTTAGACCAAATATGTACTTCTTATTATAAATCATGGTATCTCTCTCATCTTGGAGAGTAGCACCTTGGTGTTCCAGTCTTTTCCTTTGCAGCCAGCCAATTTATCCCCTTTTTTCCCCATTACCCTCTCCTAAGAGTCTGGTAGAAATTTTTAGACTAACTCTTTTCCCCCAGAAGACCTGGATGTATTTCTGGATTTTCCCAATTAAAATAGGAGCACGGGAGGAAAGGCACTCACATCTCCGCTCCTAGCAACTTGTTCCCACACTCACAGCTGCCC